GAGAGAGAGAGAGAGAGAGAGAGAGAGAGAGAGAGATTGCTTACTCTGTGTACCAGGTGAAATTTATACTGTGGGTTGCAGTCAGAAAGGTCCAAAGATCACTGCCTATGCCATCTTTTCTAAATTATTAACCAAATGATATCCCTCTTCTTACAAGCTCTTTAGTGGCTCCCCATTAACCACAGATCAAGTCCAAACTCCTTGAAATGGCACTTGAGTTTGCCCATAAATAAGCTCTTGCTCCCCTTCCCAGCCTCAGCTGAGTCTTGTCATTCTGGTCTCCTGTCAAGCCACCTTTTGTACATGCTGCTCCCTCTGCCTATGTAATTTTTTCTTTCCTTGGTTTATATAGCAAATCCTGCTCATCCTTCAATACCAAGTGCAGGTCTGCTCCTCATTGCCTCCAAGTCCTGAGAAAACTAAGTGTACACCATTCATCAGAGGACTTTCTAACCTGTGCCCATTGTCTTATACTGCTGACCAACACATCCTTTTTGAAATGCTCCTGTCCTTGCATGACACAAAAGCAGGCTTTCCTCCTACTTCTCTGGCTGCTTCTCTTCAGTCTACTCTGACATGGTGGTGTCTGTCCTAGGTCACCTTTATTTTCACTACATGCTTTATACTATCTAATCTACTACCATCGTATCAATTATGGTATATGTGACAATAACTCCCAAACCTGTATTTCCAGCACAGATATATTTCTTATGAGGTACAAACCCACAAAACCCAATCCCTCCTAAGTCCATCCACTTTTCCCCTCTCCTACCTACTGCCTGCAACCAACTATTAACCATCATTATCTCCCATCTAGACTAACTCCTTAACTATCTTGGGCCTGCACTTCTGCTCCCTTTCAATCTATTCATTTTCCACACACCAGCCACAAGGACCTTTAAAATATATTTTTTAAAATAAATATACATATATTTAAATATATATATCGAATCAAGTCACTCCCCTACTGAAACCCTTTAATAGTTTCACATTGCCCTTAGAAATAAAGTTCAAAACCCTTAGCATTGCCCAGTATGATCTGATCTTTGCCTACCTCTCTGCAACCTCATCTCTCACTATGCTCCCCTGCTGACAATATGAATCAGCTGCACTTTGGGATCACTTCATTAACTTCTCTTCATCTAGCTAACTCATCACTTTTCAGTCCTCGGAATAAGGTTCTTATCTTCTGGCTGGGAGATTATCGTTGAGCCCACAAACTGGATTAGGTACACCTGACTTCTACCATAACGCTCTGTTCCTTCAAGAATTGGAACACCCATTACCCTTTATTATGTTAACTTCCCTAATTGTCTATGTCTCCTGATAGATTTTAGGGTCTGAAGACAGAGACCAAGTTACTTTTGTTCAAACACTGTACACCAGAAACAAGCATAATGCAAGCTAAGAATAATAGCTCTGCACCCGGAGACTTAGAATGTAAATTGAGATAAGCTGTGATTTTCTTTGCAGCTTTCTTTCCATCTAGAGGCTGAAGCGTCACACACACAATTAAACCTACTTAACGACTAAGGCAATTTCTCAGTCAAACCCGAAGAAAGCAAACAAGTGGAGTATCCTACCACTTCCCTCCCTGTGAGTGACTACTCATCAGGGTTTCTCACACCACCAATCGCCACGGGAAAAATCCGGCCCCATTCTCCAACTAGTAGCCTTGGTGGCTCAGCAAGGGGACCTCAGAGTTCAGAGTGGTGCACACAAGACCAGAAAAGGGGCGGGGGGGGGGCGGTGCTGGAGTCCCTGGCTCCTCAGAGACCAAGAAGAGGTTTGGGCCGAGGCGAAGGACAAAGAGCTTTATTTCCCCACGTACCAAGCGAGGTGGCGCTGCCTCTGTGCGATCCCGCCCGCCCCGGGACGCAGCCTGACGAGGACGGCGGGACCCTGAACTGCACCGGAGCGTCCTTGGGATCGAGGACACGCCTCTGCCTGCCGGGGAAGCTCCGGGCGTCCGAGGCGGCCGGCGGAGAAGTTGCAGCGGCGCCCCAGCGGGGTCGCTTGGTGCAGGGCTCACAGCCGGGGCCCGCACTCATGCTGGGACCCGCAGCGCACAGTCCCCGGGCTAGCCCGGGCGGAGAGCCTCATTCACTAACCCTGGGAGGGACGGACTGCGCCTCCTTCTCGGCGCCTCCCAACACCATGCCCTCTCTGCCGCTGCCTGCTTCTGCAGCTGCTGCTCTGCCGGCCTCCCGAGCCAGACCCTATCCAGTCGCCTGCCTTCCCTCTTCCACAGGCACCCCACCTTCCTCAAGATGCGCCGCTTTGATTCTAGCTTCGTTCACTTTCCCACCACCGGAAAGCTGCCGTCAGGCGCTTCCGGCTTCCGGGACGTACGCTGTCGCAAAGCGGAAGTGCGAGGTTCAGCGGGCGCCGGCGCCCGGAAGGTCAGCCTGGGAAGGAGGTGGTGGTAACGCGGGTCTCCCCACTATTACAGCGGAAAAACGGCCGAGCACGCGATCTCGGCCTGAGACGGCGGGGAGAAGTAGACGGGCAGTTTGCTGCGACACCATGGAGGGCGGTGGCGGAAGCGGCAACAAAACCACAGGGGGGTTGGCCGGCTTTTTCGGAGCAGGTGGAGCAGGCTACTCGCACGCGGATTTGGCCGGAGTCCCGCGTAAGTATCGGGCCTAGCTTGCGAACATCTCTGACTGGTTCTCGCGGCCACGCTACACATGTAATGTGCCCTGTTCTCTTTTTTTTTTTTGCTGGCGGTCACAAGCTTCAGTAGCAGTGGTCGGGTTAGTGTGTCTGCGCGGCCGCACTTTTAGCACTGAACGAGTGTTTGGAGCCATGGATTCCAAGAAGCTCTCTGTGTTTGACCTGGACCCAGGAGATGTTGCATGTTTTCTTCCTTTTATATTCAAGCTTCGTGTCTTAGCGTTCTTCCCACAAATTCCTTGTGTGTTGGGCTGTGTGCTTGGCCCTAAGTGCAGAAGAGCGCCCAGTTTTGCAAGTAAATGCATTCCACGTATCGAGCCCATACATAACTTTTTAGCGCAAAGTCACATTCTAAACCACGAAGTAGCCGTCAAGGTAAGACACAATACTAATGCATACAGGAGAGAAAGAAATACGTCTCGAGACAACTGGAGGAACTTGGAAGAGAACTTTTATAGGCATGAAGAAAGAAGCCGGTAAGAATTTTAGGAAAGGAAATATTCAAGATCTAGGGTGCCGAAGCACGAATACCCTGCCTGTGCCCTCTCCTAAGTAGTGTGAATATATATTCCAGATCTTTGGAACTTTCTAACTGTGGTATTCAACTGGATGAACAGAACTTGGAGTTAAAGATAGTGGGAAGTTGGTGAAGGATAAGCGCTTCATAAAACTGATTTTCTTGAGAATCTTTGTACTATTTCTTTAGGTCTCTTATGCTCAAAAACAAAAACGCCCTTTAAAGTTCCTAGTGTCACCTGTGTCAGACCTGCATCTAGGACTTCCCTGGTCGCACAGTGGTTGAGAATCCGTCTGCCACAACTACTGAAGTCTGCGAGCCCGTGCTTCGCAACAAGAGAAGCCACCGCGATTAGAAGCCCGCACATCGCAACAGAGTAGCCCCCCTTTTCACAACTAGAGAAAGCTTGCGCGCAGCAACGAAGATCCAGTGCGTCCAAAAATAAATAACAGATAAATTTAGTTTAAAAAAAACTGAATCTGGAACATAGTTTGTATGTAATAAGTTATAGGATATGATTGTATGTGGTTTGTATATTAGTCTCAGGACCTTTGAGTTTTGGAGCACAAAGGGCACTGCCTTAATGTGAAGAAGCATTGTTATGTTAATTAAGATTTGAAGGTAAATTAAGAGATCAAGTGGTGAACACCATTCACTGAGTCACTTGAGATGGACTTTTCTGGCTGCAGGACTACAGCATTTAAATTTTAAAAGATGAGTGCTGTTTTCACGGAGATTACATCCTGTTGAAGTGAGCCAAGTAACATGAGTAAAAAATATTTCAGTTAGTGATAAGTGTGTAAAGGCAATAAAAGGATCCTGAGATGGTGATAGGAGCCGCAGCCATTTAAGAATGGTCCAGGGAAAGCAAAGGGTGTTGCCCTTTGAGCTGTGACCCGAAGACAGTACAAATGCCTGGGGGGAGGCAAGTGTTTGAGGATCAGCTGTTAGGTCATTGTATCTACAGAGCTATTGGTTTGGAGTTGGTTTGGTGGGAGATAATGAGATTAGAGGGGCAAGGAATGGCAGCTAAGGTAGTGTGTAAGCCTTTTGTAAGGTGTTTGGATTTGGTTACAGGTGTAAATGGAAGCCGTTAAGGCTGATTTCCTTTTCTTAAAAGAAAATCACTTTAATTGCCATTTAGAAAGTGAATTGGAGGGACTAGAGCAAGTAAGGAGTCCAGTTAGGTAGGAGATAGTTACTACAGTCTCCGTGAGATTTAGTGGTTGGCCTAGGGTGGTAGCAATAAAGATGGTAAGTAACACAATTCAGGATAGATATTGGATATAGAATTAATAGGACTTTGAATTGGTGAAAAGACCAGAGTCCTGGGTAATGGATAGGTTTGTGAACAATCAGCTGAGATACAAAAGGATCCAAAGATTAAATTTAAAATGTGAGAAAGTTGATTTTCCTTGATAGATTTTTCTATCTTCAAAGGTAGTAGAATTCAAGTCTGGCCCTATGAGAGTGCCCATTTCTTTTGCCCTGACCCCTTCCTTCTGGTGATTACCTAAGAATTCTCTACCCTGTAAATCAAATCTGTCAACACTAAGATCTGAAGGAATTGCCTTAGAATATTTATATACAACACATAACCCAAACGATGTTTTTCTCATAAAATTGATTGGTCTCTGGTCAGTTTTATTTTGCATTCTGTATAGTTGTCAAGCATTTTTGTAGTAAAGTAGAAAGAAATTAGCTTTTTTATTGATCAGGGCTATGCTTCCTGCTACTTTGGTTATTTGATCCACGTCACTGCCAATATCTTGTTGATATGAGATCCTGAGACCCCAGTGCAAGATTGAGGGCACCAGGAAGAGGCAACCCCTAAACTGCCAGACAGGAAGGATAAGACTAAGAAAGTGGTAGAGAAATACACATTCATTGAGCCTGTGCATCAAAATTGCAAAAGACACAAAACGAGCGCAAAATTAATGCTAAATGAAATAACTTTTAAAAATTTTATTGCAATATAATGCTTTGTTTTCTCTCTAGTAACTGGTATGAACCCTCTGTCTCCTTATTTAAATGTGGATCCACGGTATCTCGTGCAGGTAAGATTAAGACTAGTCCTTCTATGATTTTACTAATTTGGTCCTTTATCTTACCATTTAAAAAAATAACCCCAAGTACCTATGTTGACTTGATCTGTGATATGTGCATCTGGAGGCACCAAGTCTCTGGTCTTCATTCACCCTTTTTTCCCTCACAAACTCTGGGGATTTAGCTTGCATCTCTTCCTGATACTAGTTTTCTTTTTTTTTTTTTTTTTTTTTTTTTTGCAATTTTTAATTTTTATTTATTTATGGCTGTGTTGGGTCTTCGTTTCTGTGCGAGGGCTTTCTGTAGTTGTGGCAAGTGGGGGCCACTCTTCATCGCGGTGCGCGGGCCTCTCACTATCGCGGCCTCTCTTGTTGCAGAACACAGGCTCCAGACGCGCAGGCTCAGCAATTGTGGCTCACGGGCCCAGTTGCTCCGCAGCACGTGGGATCTTTCCAGACCAGGGCTCGAACCTGTGTCCCCTGCATTGTCAGGCAGATTCTCAACCACTGTGCCACCAGGGAAGCCCCCTGATACTAGTTGATTAAAGGATTTTGGGGTTTGGTTGTTTTTTCCATTTTTTAAAGTTGTGATAAAATACACTAACAAAATATACTATCTTTAACTGTACAGTTCAGTGGTATTTAATGCATTCCTAATATTGTAGCATCACCACCTACCAGCTCCATGCTTTTCATCTTGTAAAACTGAAACTCTACACCCATTAAGCAATGACTCCTTTCTTCACCCTCCCCCCAGCTCCTGGCAACCCTTCTGCTTTCTGTCTGATTTTTTAATACTCTTAAGTACCTCAAATAACTGGAATCATACAGTATTTATTTTTCTGTGACTGGTTTAGTTCATTTAGTGTGATGTCCTCAAGGCTCATCTGTATTGTAGTGTGTATCAGAATGTCCTTCCTTTTTAAAGCTGGATAATATTCCATTGAATAATATTCCATTTTGCTTATCCCTTCATCTGTCCAATGGACACTTGGATTGCTTCCATGTTTTGTTTTGTTTTTTTCCTTTTTTCCCCGCGGTACGCGGGCCTCTCACTGTTGTGGCCTCTCCCGTTGTGGAGCACAGGCTCCGGACGCGCAGGCTCAGTGGCCATGGCTCATGGGCCCAGCCGCTCTGCGGCATGTGGGATCTTCCCGGACCGGGGCACGAATCCGTGACCCCTGCATCGGCAGTCGGACTCTCAACCGCTGCGCCACCAGGGAAGCCCGGTGTTAGTTCTTTAAATGTTTGGTAAAATTTACCAGTGAAGCCATCAGATCCAGGGCTTTTGGGCTTTTGGGCTTTTTCTTTGTTGTGAGTTTTTTTATAAGTGATTCCGTCTCCTTACTAGTATGGGTATCTTCTGATTTTCTGTTTCTTGGTGAGTTTTGTGTTTCTAGGAATTTGTACATTTCATCAAGGGCATCCAGTTTTTTGGCATACAGTTGTCAATATTTTCTTATAATCCTTTTTAATTCTGTAGAATCAGTAGTGATGTCCTCACTTTCATTTCTGATTCTAGTAATTTATTTCATTTATCCCTGCTCTAATCTTTAATATGTCCTTCCTTCTGATAGCTTTGGGTTTAGTTTCTTCTTTTTCTATTTCCTTAAGTTGTAAAGTTAGATTTTTGATTTGAGATCTTTCTTATTTTTTATTTTTATTTTATTTTTATTTTTTATTTTTTATTTTTTTGCCATATGTGGGCCTCTCACTGTCGTGGCCTTTCCCGTTGCCGGACGCGCAAGCTCAGCGGCCATGGCTCACGGGCCCAGCCGCTCCGCGGCGTGTGGGATCCTCCCGGACTGGGGCACGAACCCGTATCCCCTGCATCGGCAGGCGGACTCTCAACCACTGCGCCACCAGGGAGGCCCTCTTTCTTATTTTTTAATGTGGGCATTTATAGCTATAAATGTCCCCCTTAGCACCACTTTCACTGAGTTTCACAAGTTTTGGTATGTTGTGTTTCTTTTTTGCTCATCTCTTAAGTATTTTCTAATTTCCCTTGTGATTTCTTCCTTGATCCATGGATTGTTTAAGAGGTGTTTTTTTTAATTTCCACTAATTTGTGAATTTTCCAGTTTTACTTCTGTTATTGATTTCTAACTCATCCCATTGTGGTTGGAAAAGGTGCTTCGTATGGTGTCTTTTAAAATCTATTGAGACTTAACTTGTGGCCTAACATATGGTCTATCCTAAAAAATGACTTATGTGCACTTGAGAAAAATGTGTACATTGTTGGGTAGAGTGTTTTGCATATGTCTGTTAGATCTAGTTGACTTAATGTGTTAACTCCTCTATTTCCTTATTTTCTGTCTGGTTATAACAGTTACTATTCATTATTGAGAGTGGAATTTTGAAATCACCAACTGTTACTGTAGAACTTTCTATTCTTCCCTTTAATTCCAGCACTTTTGCCTAATATATTTTGATGGTCTGTTACTAGGTAAGTAAATGTTTATAATTGTTATATTTTCTTGCTATGTTGATACTTTTATTGATATAATGTCCTTCTTTGTCTCTTGTAACCTTTTTTGCTTTAAAGTCTATATTTTCTGATGTTAGTATAGCCACCCTGCTCTTTTTTGGTTATTATTTGTGTGGAATATCTTTTTCCATACTTTCACTTTCAGTCTTTTTGTGTCTTTGGCTGTAAAGTGAATCTGTTGTAGACAGCATATAAATGGATCATGTTTTTTAGTCCATTGTGCTAATCTCTGTCTTTTGGCCTAGAGAGTTGAATCCATTTATATTTAAAGTGTTTACTGATAAGGAGAAATTTCTGGCATTTTGCTATTCATTTTCTATAAGCTTTTAGCTTTTTTGTCCCTCCCTTCCTGCATTAATATCTTCTTTTGTGTTTATCTCATTTTTGGTAGGAAATTGTTTAAATTCCTTTCTCATAACCTGTTTTTAAAATGTATTCTATAGGTGTTTTCTAAAGTTATAACACTAATTTGAATTTATACCAGTTTAACTTCAGTAACATACAAAAATGCTGCTCCTTTACCAGCTGTCCTTGCCCCTCTCAATTGTTGATGTCACAAAATTATATCTTTATACATCATGTGGTCAAAAACATAATCTAATAATTCTTTTAAATGCTTTAAACTTTATGTAGAAAACAAAGGTGGAGTCAAAAGCGTAAGTTACAGTAATACTTTTATAATTGTCCATGTATTTGCCTTTATTAATATCTTTATCCCTTCATAAGGCTTTGAGTTACTGTCTAGTGTCCTTTCATTTTACTTTGTAGGAGTCCCTTGATCATACCTTGCAGGGCGGGTCTAGTGGTCATGAACTCTCAGCTTTTGTTTATCTGGGAATTTCTTAATACTTCCTTCACTTTGAAGGACAGTTTTGCTGAATATGGGGTTCTTGGTGGACAGTTTTTTCTTTTAGCACTTTAAATATATCAGCGCACTGTCTAGTGGCCTCCAAAGTTTCTCTTGAGAAATCGGCTGTTAACCTTATTGAGGATCTTTGTATGTGATAAGTTGCTTCTCTCTTGCTGCTTTCAAGATTCTCTCTTTGTCTTTAGCTTTTGAAAGTTTGATTTTAACATGTCTCAGTATGGGTGTCTTTGAATGTATCTTACTTGGTGTTTATTGAGCTTCTTGAATGTTCATATGCATCTCTTTTATCAAATTTGGGAAGTTTTCAGCCATTGTTTCTTCAAACATTCTCTTTCTCTCCTTCTATAACTCATGATCTGTATGTTAGTCTGCTTTGTGGTATCCCACAGATCCCTTAGGCTCTGTTCATTTCTGTTCAATCATTTCTTTCTCCATTTCCTAAGACTGAATAATTTCTATTCTGTATTCAAGTTCGGTGATTCTTCTTCTGCCCGTTCGAATCTGCCTTTGAATCCCTTTAGTGAATTTTCCAGCTATTGTTCTTTCAGCTTCAGAATTTCTTTTTGGTTTCTTTCTAGGTTTTCTATTTCTTTGTTTCCATTTTGTTCATACATTGTTTTGACTTTCTCCACATCTCCTTTAGTTCTTTGAGCATCTTTATGACACTTTAAAGTCTTTGCCTAGTAGACCTATTGTCAGGTCTTTTTTAGGGACATTTCTGTTGATTTATTTTTTTTCCTTTGAATGGGCCATGCTTTCCTATTTCTTTGTATGCCTTGTGATTTTTTGTTATTGAAAGCTAGACGTTTGACTCTAATAATGTGGTTAACTCTGGAAATCAGATTCTCCCCCCTTCCCCAAGGTTTGCTTTTATTTGGTTATTGGTTTTTATTATTATTACTATTATTACAGTCTGCCTGTGTGCCAAGGACCAGTCTGAAATGTAAACTTAAGCTCTTCTCAGTTCTTTTCTGAGCCTAAACTTTTTCCTGGGTATGTGTTGTCACTTTCTAATTTTTCCTTTTTATGCAATTGCTTTTGAATGTTCTAGTCTTTAATGTCTAGTTCACGAATGGGGAAGCAGCAAGGAGACCAGCTCCCAGCTCTTCTTTAAAGCCCCTGGAATAAGTGGGGGTGGAGAGGGTACAACAACAATGGCTGCCTGCTTCTTTGTATGCACTTCTGTGATCAGAAGGAGCAGTGATCAGAGCACAAATTAAAGATTTATATCTAAAAGCAACAAGTAGGGCTTCCCTGGTGGTGCAGTGGTTGAGAACCTGCCTGCCAATGCAGGGGGTATGGGTTCAAGCCCTGGTCCAGGAAGATCCCACCTGCCACGGTGCAACCAAGCCCGTGTGCCACTGCTGCTGAGCCTGCACTCTAGTGCCTGCGAGCCACAACTACTGAAGCCCATGCGCCTAGAACCTGTGCTCTGCAACAAGAGAAGCCACCGCAATGAGAAGCCCGCGCACTGCAACGAAGAGTAGACCCCACTCACCACAACTAGAGAAAGCCTGCATGCAGCAACGAAGACCCAATGCAGCCAATAAATAAATAAAATTTTTAAAAAATACATAGGGCTTCCCTGGTGGCACAGTGGTTGAGAGTCCGCCTGCCAATGCAGGGGGCGCGGGTTCGTGCCCCGGTCTGGGAGGATCCCACATGCTGTGAAGCGGCTGGGCCCGTGAGCCGTGGCCGCTGAGCCTGCGTGTCCGGAGCCTGTGCTCCGGAACGGGAGAGGCCACAACAGTGAGAGGCCCGCGTACCGCAAAAAAAAAAAAAAAAAAAAAAATACATAAAGCAACAAATAATTAATTTTAAAAGCACCCCAATAAAAAATATTGGAGTAGTTACAAAGTTATAAGAGGTCATTAATACTAAGTTAAGTGTAAATGAAAGTGTAAAGTGGGAATCTTTTTACTGAAATCTTGAACCAAATCTACATTTGGGGAAAAAAATACCACCTGAGTTTATTTAATTAGATCAGATTATTATTATTCAAAAGCCTATGAAAATAAGAGTGGTCTCATGAATACAAACATTTGAAATTAGGGGGTTATACATTTTAAGGTTTATATTAGCCTCGTTTTGGTTGGTTGTTTTTGTGGGTTTTGTTTTTTCAGTTTGGAGAAGTTGCTGATTCAACACAGATAAAGTTGCAAATAGTAGGGGTTTTTTTAAGCTCAGTTTACAACATCAGGCTTCAAAGAGTAGTTGTTGGATATCTCGGGAATGCAAGGTTGACTCACTAGCTGAAGAATGAGTCAGTGATGACATGCACTTGTATCAATACTTACTAAAGTTAATCATGACCATCTTTTTTTTTATTTCCTATGTGTAGTTAGTGATCCATTTCTGGATTGAAGGATAATTATTTACCTCATCATATTAAATATACCATTCCTAAAAACCCCAAACAGGAAGCACAATTGAAAACTAAGTCATTAATTGAAAAGTCAGGAAACACCCAGAATTTACAGATCTATGTATAATAAATATATTTAGACACTGAATTTTTCAGAGTTTGCTACTCATTGCCCAACAGACCATTTCTGTGTGATGAGAGTACGTGGGCTTGTTTGTTGTACAGTTTTTGGTAAGAACGTGTACACAAGCCAGAAGTCAAAAATCAGTGCAGAGGTACAGTTTTCCTAATCAGGAATGCATTTATCAAAGGTCAGTATTTGCCAAAGGGATGTTTACTTGTTAGTGTTTTTTGCTAAGGGTGTGTGCTATCCTTCAGGGGCTCATTTTAACCATTTTTGTATGGAAAGCTTGGCAAAAATGTATTTGTTCATCATAAAAAAGTGGATTGTATTGCAAAATCAATTCTCTTGTGCTCTTACAGTAGCACTTCTCAACCTAGGATTCTTGGCTGACCTTCAGGGGGTTCATACCAAATTTTGTATATGCATTTACTAGAAGGTGGATCTAGTAAGCTTTCTAAGATTATCAAAGGAATATATCCCCTGCAAACAACTAATTAAGGAGGTGATTTTTGCCCTTGCGTAAGTGATCCAAACTGTTGTACTTTTATAGTTTCTCCTCATTTTTTATCATCATTGGTCTTACATATAGTAAAATGGTGCTGGATAAATAGTAGCTATAGAGTGAAAGTTATTTTCTCCTTCCAGACTGGTATTCTGTTATCTCTCATAGCTTTCAGTTTACCTTTCTCTAGAGATGGCCTTCCTAAACTTTCAAATTTATCATGAAGGCAAATTTCCTATAATCTATCAAACTTACATTAAGATGCAAAGTTCTGGGCAAGAATCTCTCCTAAGAACTAATGAGTATAACTATATATGTTGTATATTTCATTTAATTTTGATTTACATGTTCCTTTTGTTGCAGAAAGTTTTACTTTTGTTTAAGTATAGTTGAGTTTTATTTAATATACTGATTTATGTTATGTGAAAAACTCCTTTGAAAAATTAAACACTTTGCAAGTACTGTGTCTTAAGGGGAGCTCAACTTGGTTTTCATTGTTATCCCTGTAGGATACAGATGAGTTTATTTTACCAACTGGAGCTAATAAAACCCGGGGCAGATTTGAACTGGCCTTCTTTACCATTGGGGGATGTTGTATGACAGGTTGGTATTTATATATGTTTTTTTAAGTATCCTCAATCCAAGTAGTCAGGTGCTTAAAAGCAAAGGCAATTAAAATATCACCTTCAGGGTTGTTTTTTTGAAAATCATTATTTACATTTTTCTTATTATTAAATAAAAATGAAAAAGAATCAGAAGTATAGTTGTTCTTTAATATATAGCTGATTATTTGAATGAATCGTTACTGTGATTTGCCAGGGGCTGCATTTGGGGCAATGAATGGTCTACGGCTAGGACTGAAGGAAACCCAGAACATGGCCTGGTCCAAACCAAGAAATGTACAGTAAGTCTCATGTAATGATGTAGTGATGTTTGAATATTAATCTCTACTTTGTTGGCTTGATGAGCACAACCTTGAGATTACGGTTGTTTAGAGTATTGGTATACTTTTTTGTCAGTTTTTTTTTTTTTTCAGGTGTTTTGTTTTGTTTTTCCCTTATTCAAAATAAAAGGAATTTAGGAATTAAGTCCTGGGTCTAAGCTTTTAGAAGGAGTGATTTTTGAGTCAGTGTCCCTCAGTCAGCTGGTGCTATCCTAACCTAACTTCTCAGCTACACCTGTTCCATTTTGCAGGCCTATATAACATGCTTTTCCAATTGTTGAATTACTAGTACATTATTTGGATTGTTCAGGGGTGTGCAAAAGCATAGGACATGATAAGTGAAGAAATAAGCACGTAAGAGTAATTGCTAACTCTGCCGACATTTGACTTGAGCTTCTTATTGACTTCACTCTCCTTTTCTTAAGTGCAAAGGTGCAGAAAATTTAAATGAAATCCCTAGAATTCATAGAGGTGGTTAGAATTCTTAGAGGTGGTTCCAAAAGGAGTAAGACAGTGTCCTCTTAGGAAACTGAAGTTTGCAAAGAAGGGAAAGTGCAATTAAGGTCAGAAAGTGTATATAACATGTATCTTCACCCTGATTAAGGAATAAACATGACCAGTTCCTGTTACTGTTCCCTAAATAATATATTGTTTAGTTTTGCATGTTTTTATACTTCATATGAGTGGAATCACACAGTATGTGTTCTTCAGTGGCTTGTGGTTTTTATTTTAGGACCCTTTAAGCTCCATTTTCTTTATATGTTTCTTAGCCAGCAGATGGCAGCAGTGTGTTAGAATTGGACCTTGGGAAACCTGAAGGCCTGTGAAGTTTTTCATATTCTTACTACTGTATGGATCACTGCCCTTGCTTTACAAGCTCAGATCCTTGAATATTTTTGTATTTATATTCTTAATATTCGTTCTTTACTCCAATTTTTTTTTACTTTTTGTATTATGGATAATTTTGAATATACAAAAGTAGACAAAGTAGTACAGTGAACATCTATGAACTATAACCCAAGCTCAACAACCAGCAACCAGCAGCAGGACCAGTTATGTCCCACCTCCTTTTTCCCTTCCATATTATTTTGAAACAAATCCCCAGCATCATATTACTGAACACCAATTTGAAAGTGGAAGGTCTCTTAGAAAAGATAACCTTTGTTTCTTAAAACTATCATAGTTACTAATTTTGGGGGAGAGTCAAATTGGTTTGCATTTCTGAAGTCAGAGTTTTAAAATCTTACATACCGTTTTTTAGTATAATCATTCTGATCTTTCATATAGAGAGACAACATTTTAAAAATGGAAAGGTAATTGGGTTTCAGGCCAGACAATCTATGTAGTTTCAAAGCCCAGTTTCATTGCTTACTGTTTTGGGATCTTGGGTAAGTTTCCTTACTTTCTGCCTTTAATCTATTGAGAGATGGTTAAAGTGGGAAGTAGGTAAGGGCCCAGTTAAGTGGACGTATGTTGCCCGATCACATTCCAAAGGACTTTGGCAATTTGCAGTGCCACCAGCAATACAGTAATGAAAATTGTTTTAGATGCTTGTTATAAATGAAAAACAATTAAGTGCTAAACTTAATATATTAGTAAATATGTACCATAGTTAGATTAATTAAATGTGTAACATAATATTTATAATCATTACTAATTTTTTAAATAATCCTTTAAAAGTAATACAGATTTTTGTTATTACTGAGCATTAATTTAAATGAGTGCTTTAATTAAATGAGTTCTTTTACTGTTTGTTGTTGTAATTCTGTAATCTCCAGCAGTAGTCAGCTGTCAGGACAGAACCATTCCTGTGACAGTGTTACACTGCTGGGAGAGCAGTGTTCTGTCTTCTTTCTCCAGTTGCCTCCGTCACTGTTCTGGTGACGTCTGGCACTGGATGAGGGCAGCGCTGTGCTTCCTTGAGAGTGTACTAAGCATTCACTTTGGCTGCTTAGTTCTAGTCTGGGAGCAGACACAGAGTGCACTTTCTTCATGTATTCTAGTTAGATGACTTTTTCCTTTTAGTATTTGTCTTTAAGTTTGCTTTATATTCCATGATATTCCACACTTTGATTCTGTTTAACATTCTGAGTATACATACTACCCCACACACATAAGAAAATTATAAGCTAGTTTGTCTGTTGTGTCATTTTTTTTTTAACATAGATCAGTTTCTGTGAACTTCTTTGTAAAATACATTCCCGGATATCATTCAAACCTTTTATATATTTAATAGTTTTACACATTTAATAATTAGAGTTTACTTGTTGCCCAAAAATATTGGAGTTTTTAATCTAATCCTCATTTATATTTATATAAAGTAAAAGCTATCCTAATTGAATTCTGAGGAGGTGTTAAGTTTTAAAATTAAGAAAACTTTGTGTATTGCGTTTATACATTTAAAATTGCTATTATTATGGTTTTTCTAAATACTAAAGGAATACTGGTTCTAAATACAGATTCTTTCTCTTTCTTCCCTGGTAGGATCTTGAATATGGTGACCAGGCAAGGGGCACTTTGGGCTAATACTCTGGGTTCTCTGGGTAAGTAGATATCTCACTTTTTAATAAATTATTATTACTGCAAAGAAAGAATGTACATGTATTATGAACAGTTTGATCAACTAAAATCCTGGTCCTGGGATGTTAAAAATTATGTTTATCCACTCTGGTGAGTAGTATAGATACTACTTAGGAGAAGACCATAAACTGTATAACAAAAGAATCCCAGCTGCTAATACCATTGTGAAATACATTCATTTCTAAATGCTTTAAGCATTGCATACTCTCCTGTCTCAGCAAGACACCAAATAAAATCATGTTTTAACTAAATGAAATTAAAATAATTTAGGTTCAAGGCAAATGGTTTTGTTTGTTAGGAGAGGTTCAGGTTCCTGTAGTAAGATATGATAGATTAATCCAGCCGTCCTGATAAGTTTTCCTAATAGAGCATTCATCATTCTGTTTACCTAATTAGATTTCCCAGACTTAATTGCCAGAATTGTAGTAGGGCCTTTGTAGACATTGAAAACATTTGCAGTTCTAAGGAATGGATAATTTAGTAGTACTTAGGACCAAATGCTTTCATACTGTAATGTTTATGAATGATTGACTCTTTTGATTACTCATGACTTACAATAAACCTACTTATGGCACTTATGCCCTAATCCAAAGTTTACTTTATTTGAAAGTCTGAAAATCTTTTACTTGTGGCAGATTAAGTAAGAGAAAATGTAGGTATCTTGTTAAAAAAATAGGAAAAGCCTCTGTGTAACAGAGTGAGATCCTAGCCTTGTCATAGGCTTTGGAAGCAGTACATTTTCACACTGTAATAGTAAATGGCTGCTTCCATATGCTGCCCATGACCCCAGTGCCCTTCCACTAAGCACAGTCACCCTCCTTTGTACCTGTGTGCCCAGAGTAATCAGTCGTGCTGGTCTCCCCAGGACTTTCTCAGTTGTAGCACTTCATGTTCCAGGAAACCCTCAATTCTGGGCAGACTGGGGTGGCCAGTCACCCTGTATGTTTCCCTTGTAATGTGGCTGGTCACGTGTTCTGCTCAAGTTTAATTTCAGTTAAATAAATTGAAACGGGAAGAAGAGCCCTTATAGAAGTATAAAAACATCACAGCAGAGGAGTTGTAAGGCTGAGTTTGGTATAATTTTGAGGGGTCAAATGTGGCTATAATTTTGAGAAAGATTAAGGAGAAGGGTTAATGCATTCATGGCTAATCAGTCTTTACAGGCATAAGAGAATGGTAGTTTGGGGGAAGATCTTGTTAAAACTAAATAGTGCTAGTGTTAGTGTTTTTACATGTGCAGGAACCAGATCTCACGTTTCTGGAAGTCATATTTTTCTTAGAATAGAAATGCATGTGTTTTGTTTTTGTTTCTAAACCCAAAGTACAGCTGTTACGAATAAAATGGAAGTGAGGGTTTCCCTGGTGGCGCAGTGGTTGAGAGTCTGCCTGCCGATGCAGGGGACACGGGTTCGTGCCCCGGTCCGGGAAGATCCCACGTGCTGCGGAGCGGCTGGGCCCCTGAGCCTGCGTGTCCGGAGCCTGTGCTCCGCAACGGGAGAGGCCACAACAGTGAAAGGCCTGCATACCGCAAAAAAAAACAAAAAAAAAAACAAAAAAAAAAACCAAAAAAATGGAAGTGAAAATTAAAGATATTCTTCCTGGGACTCCCCAGTAGTACTTTCCATAAATAGCTAATAAATTTCTTCTGAATCTCTCCAAACATGTTCTTTGCATATCCAGAGTCATACACACGTGTGCCTGCTTTACCTATTAGTGAATAGAGCTCTTCCTGCGTTTTAAGTGAGTACATAGTATTCCATTATGTAGAAAGTCTCTTTCTGGATCAGTCCCCTCTTGAAGGTCATTTTATTTGTTGCTAGGCCTTTTTTATTACAAATAGTGTTCCAGTGATCATTGTTTATATGTCTGTGAATACTTATAATGTCTGTAGAATACATTTATCTAAATATAATTGCCACACTGACTTTCAGTTTACTTTTTTATTACTGATCAGTTCCATTTCCCCTATAGCTTTGCTCTATAGTGCATTTGGTGTCATCATTGAAAAAACACGAGGTGCAGAAGATGACCTCAACACAGTAGCAGCTGGAACCATGACGGGCATGTTGTATAAATGTACAGGTAGGTACTATTAAATAGTGAAGCTGTCTCTTAATACAGTTGAAGTATGCTTTTTATCCATACTGTAGTTTAAAAGGAAATGTTATACTTTTTTTTTTTGTAGTATAATGTTCTCTGCCATCTCGTGGTTTGGGATTTTGGTTTTTATTTTTTGTAAAATACACATAACATAAAATTGACCATCTGAACCGTTTAAGTGTACAGTTCAGTAATGTTAAGTATGTTTACATTGTTGTGCAGCTAATCTCCAGAACTTTTCTTCATCTTGCAAAACTGAGACCCTGTACCCATTAAACAACTCTGCATTTCCCCCTTCTACAGCCCCTGGCAACCACCATTCTACTTTCTCTCTCTCTGAATTTGACTACTTTAGGTACCTTATGTAAGTGGAATCATGTAGTATTTTTCTTTTTGTGACTGGCTTATTTCATTTAGCGTAATGTCCTCAAGGTTTATCCATGTTGTAGCATATGTTAGAATTTCCTTCCTTTTTAAGGCTGAATGTCCCACGTTTTGTTTATTCGTTCATCTGTCAATGGACACTTGTGTTTCTTCCACTTTGGCTACTGTGCATAATGCTGTTATGAACATGGGTGGACTAAATACCATTCAGTTTTGGAAAAAAAGAAAATCAAAGCCCTGAGAGTTGAGTCAAAATTAACTGGATGAAGATCAAATATCAAATTCTCCTCTAAGCTGGAAAAGAAATTAACATTCACTGAGTTATGATTACATTCTCAGCAATAATCAGTTAATATAACTTGTTTCATTTAAAACTTTGTGAAGTGATAATCATCACACCCCAATTTTATAGATGATCACGGTATTAAGATGATCTTTCTTAAAAGATCATATAACTAGTGACAGCCCCAGATTTTTCCCACATTTCTGTTTTAAATTGCCTAAACTACATATGTTCTATACTCAAGTCTCTGAAAACTACTTTTGTTTGTTTGATTGCTTTATTATGCTTTTAGACACTTGATTAACTGAGTAATTTTGTTTTTATATAATTCCTCTATCACAAATATCAAGTAGCATTTTGGCCTCATTTTTGCTGGAAAGAAATGAGAGAAGTCGCAACAGAATTGTAAAATCCAAAATTTTCTGATATAACTGAGAGTAAGAGGCTTTTTTAATTTTGAAAATGGATCACATTGGGAGTTTTCTTAAGAGCTCGCAATACTTTCTGCAACACGTGCGTGTGCTTACACACATCAGCAGAGCTCCCAGGTAGAGTAAGACAGTAAATACCTTTTATGCCCATGAAAGTGTTACCTTGGCATAGAAGAACCTTGTTAAAAACCTAAAAATACTTCCATATTGAAAATCTTTGGGATCAGACAAAGGAATTGAAAACCCTAATTGACACCACAAGGGTGGCACTCAGCCATCAAGAGTTTATTTGGGGGCTTCCCTGGTGGCGCAGTGGTTGAGAGTCCGCCTGCCGATGCAGGGGACACTGGTTCGTGCCCCGGTCCGGGAAGATCCCACATGCCGTGGAGCTGCTGGGCCCGTGAGCCACGGCTGCTGAGCCTGCGCATCCAGAGCCTGTGCTCCGCAACGGGAGAGGCCACAACAGTGAGAGGCCCACATACAGCAAAAAACAAAACAAAAAAGAGTTTAGTTGGCCCAAACTGTTTATTAAAAATCAAATTAAAATTTAAAAAACAGGAGATTTCACACAAAAGTCTGGAAATTTTAGCTTCTTTTGAACAAATGGAAGACACTAAGCTTATGTGTGGTGGCAGATGGCTGGAGCTGAGGTTGGGGAGCAGCTACCCCATTGGATGGCACTGAAGCTCCAGCTCAGTTCCCACCAATCCCCATTTTCTTGCTCAAGGTAAGCCATTATGGCATTTCCTGTGTTGAGGGCAGTCCTGAGTATAAAAATGTACTGAATTACCATCTCATTTAAGACATATTACACGTATTTTAAAGATAAAAAGGGAAAGGCTGAATACTTGGTATTATCCAGAAAAGGAGAGCCTAGCTTTCTGTGTCCAGAACTTCCTTGCGGGAGTAGCATTTATAACACCACCTGGGACACCTCCAACATCAGTTATGGAAGAGCAGGCTCTTGGCTCAGAAGAGAAAGGGCAAAAAAGAATATTCATTAATTCTGTGTCAGGTGACAAGTAGATTTCAGTTTCCACCGCAATTGGGGAACATAGATGAGGTAAATAATCTGCTGACCCAGAATTCCAACATTGGTTCGTAGTTCCTGGCTGGACAATTTAACTCAGCGCATCAAAATTGCTCTAAAAAAGGCAAATCAGTGTCTTATTGATTTCTGGTTTACACTCTACTTAAGACAGAGCACAGAATTATGAGTTCTGTGTGGCAGGAATATTTGTAAAACTTCTAGATTCAAGCATTTGGAAAAGAGTTTAGGCACTCTAGTCTAGAATCAGCATAAACCATTGAGGAAAGTTTACATTTAGAGAATGGTTAATTCCTGTTGACCTAAAATCTTTCCAATCCCCAGTTTACTCTTCTAGAATAGGAATTTTTTTCTTTTTTTTTTAAAGGAAGGAGTTTAGAATGAAAGCAATATGATTCAATTTAGGTATGGAAGCTACTTTTGTAGAAAAAAAAGACATGAGGGAAAATACATGAGAAGGTGGGTAGTTGTCAGACCAAAAAGAGGCTAAAGGAATAATTCTGATGGTGTGGTTTTACTTCAGATCTAATGTTTTATTTAATGAACTCTGTAAATATTTTTCAGAGGGTGTGAAATGTCATTATTAGGTTTCCTATGCCATGTGAAAATCTAATGACCAGTATTTTACCAGAATGAGAACAGCTGTAGTTTTGCTATCATGTGTAAGTTTAGGAATGTTGAAGAGACCTGATCACTTATCTTCAGGAAACAAGACCTCAGAAACCAAAAAATATGGGTGCCCCTTTCCCCCTCGCAGAAAATATCTTACCTGTTAATCCTGTGCCTTCTATGAGAAAGTCACCTTATAAAAGCAAGCTAAGTAAAAGTAAGAAGATAAACAAATCCAGTTCTTCAGATTAAGCAATTATCAGGGTTATTGTTAAAAGGTACTACTTCTCAGTGAATGCCAGGCCTTCAAAACTAAACTTCATATGCCACAAACAGCCTCTTGATGACTTCTTTATTTCTGTTACTGGCATCAACATTCTTCCAAAGAGCTAACTGCCATAATGTGTAAAACATTTCAACAAATCACTTAAACCAACAACCCAGTAAAAAGTGGAGTAAGGATATGACAAAGCCCTTCAGGAGGAAAGGCAAATGACCAATAAACAATTGAAGTTTGCTCACAAGCAACCAGGGAAAAGCAAAATGAAACATTAAGGTAATATTTTTCACAACCTGGCTTTTAAAAAGTGATGGTAGATGATGCTTATTGGCAAAGGTAAGCAAGTACTTTGAAGAGCAATTTGGCGTTAGTTATTACTATTTTAAATATGTAGATCCTTTGCTCAAGTCATCTAATTTTCAGCAATTTATCCCACAGCACACAAAGGCATACACGCAAAACTGTATGTACCAAGGTGTTTTAAGACACCCTTCAAGGAAAAGGTGATATCTGACCAAAGATGGATAGATGAGGGAGCATGAGGTGGATGTCTGGAGGGAGCAATTTAGGTAACAGCAAGAACAAAGGCCCTGAAGTGGGAGTTAAAAGGCAATGGGAGGGCTTCCCTGGTGGCTCAGTGGTTGAGAGTCCATCTGCCAATGCAGGTGCGTGCCCGGTCTGGGAAAATCCAACATGCCGCGGAGCGGCTGGGCCCGTGAGCCATGACCGCTGAGCCTGCACGTCCAGAGCCTGTGCTCCGCAACGGGAGAGGCTGCAACAGTGAGAGGCCTGCTTACAGCAAAAAAAAAAAAAGGCAATGGGGAGAGTAGTAGAATCTGGAGTGATAAAAGTGGGAAGGGACCAAATCATATAGATGATAGAACTTCATAAGCCAGTGTAAAGACTTGGCTTACCTGGACTTTACCATCTAAGAACTAGAGCATTTCCATTTACTTACAAGCCTTAAATTGTTTATTGTAACTTCCAGAGAGTTAAACTTTCACCCTTCTCCTGAGTACAGAGTTTACACCAGGAGATGTTAAGTCAGGGTTTCTAAATCCTCTAAAACTTCCATAAGGTTCTCAAAGGGGTCTGGGACACTCCCTACCACCTGCAGAAAAACAGCCACCGAAAGACTTCCTAAAAGGACACTGTAACGTGGGGGCTCAAAAACAGCTGGGATATTTTAGTGAGTTTGGTCCTGCATGGAAGCGCTGGCATTGCAAGGAAGGACTGGATGGGGCATTGGTACAGGAAGCCCAGGAAAGCCCAGAAGTGCAGTTCAAAGTCCCACCTACTGCTTCCACTCTGTTAGAAAACCAAGAAAGAAAAAACAAGAAGCAGGAAGCAGGCCTGCTCACCTTTGATTTCTGCCTTTCTTTGTCCCCTCATTCCATCAGTTATGAAGTTTACCACACCCATCACCTGAGTTGAGGCCCTTATCACAAGCCCTGAACTTCTGTAGCAGTATTTTCCGTTGACCATTTTGACAATAGACTTCTACCTCCAGTCTCTTACCTACTTACTATTTCTAGCTTAATCTTCCTCAAGGAAGGTTCTAATTCTAATACTGCCTACCCAGGAGCCTGTGATGATGACACACTTCCTTTCTATCTTAATTCAAACTTCTCACCTAGCCTTCCATGTTCTAATCTTAACCTATCTTCCCAGCCTTTTCTCCCACAGCTTTCTCATGCATGTCGTATGATCAAACATAAATTTGAAATCCAGTCCATCCTTAAGGCCCAGCCCAATTGTTAGTACCCCTTTCAAGAAATTTCTCTGATAATCTCCTTTCTCTATGCTGGAGGCAATTTGGTATGCTGAAAAAACCGGGCTTTGGAGTCAGACTGAGTTTGACTAGCACTGGATCCCTAAAAAAATGTGTAAATAGGAGAGTAACTTGTCTGAATTTGAGTTTTTCTATAAAACAAGGGTGACTGTTGCCTTCAGAGTTGTAAATGAGATAACATAAACCTTTCTGCCATAAGCATATTTTGTACAATTCTTACGAGACTTGACACAGTTTTCCTAGTAGGAAATCAATAGACAATATCCAGGATTGAAATATCAAGAAATAGCAAGATAAAGATGTTCTTTAGAAACATGCAGGTAAAAAGCAAAGAATCAAAGTAGTTGCTTTTGGGAACTGGGAATTAGGGTAAGAATGATGAGTACCCCAGACTGTTGTGCATCACTAAAATCTTTTGGTACTATCTTGACTTCTAAAATTATCTATATGGACTACTTTGATAAAAATTAAAGTGAGCAAAGATGTATCATCATAATAATTAAATTAGGCATTAGATTGGGAAGGGGAGGAGGGAATTGTTTAATGGGCACAGAGTTTTGGTTTTGTAAGATGAAAAAGTTCTCTGGAGATGGATGATGGTAGCCCAACGCCAAGGTACTTAATGCTACTAAGCTGTACACTTAATAATGGTAAATTTTATGTGTATTTTATCACAGTTTTAAAGAATAGTTTTAACAAAAAAAATTAAGTAGTACAAACATTTGTTGAATGGAATTTGTAGCCATCTCTGTGTATGTAAGGCTGTTTGTCTAAAGCAAGGGCCACAGACTCTGCTGGCCAGGTACCTGTCTCTTCACTGAATATATTTTACATTTTTAAACATTTAACATTTTTAATGATTATATAAGTACCTACATAGCCTTTGCACTCTCAAAGCCTAAAATATTTACTTTCTGGCCGTTTCAAGAAAAACGTGCTGACCCTTGTGCTAAAATAATTTTCAGTTCAGTGTGTTAGCTCTGCCAGTGATCAGCTCTATACTCCATAAACCAGGTGTTTAAATATTCTGGGCCTCATTTTCCCAGGTTTAGAAGAGGTGATATTTGCCCTTTCTGGAAGAGTTGTATAAGTATCCAAAAGATAGAAGATAAAACTGTGACACACAAGTCTCGTGTTCTGCTTTATAGAGATTAACCATTGGCCTCATTTGGTTACTCTGTGTTCAAAGCAAGTTTATTTGCTAATCGACTTCCTGTGCTTAGTTGGGCAAAAGTTGTTTTATTACAGAAAGCCTAAAGCCAAGGCTGTCAAACTTTTAACAGATCAACCAGCTGGAAAACCCTGAAATTAATGGAAAGAATTAAAACTAAAACATGTGATAAAAGGCTACCCTTGAGTCAGGGTTACTGTGATTATTAGTAAATCAAGCACTTACGTATGTTTGGTGTCTTCTTACTAGAAACAACTTTTTTCTAGTCTTCAGAGAAGTAACAATTGATTTGAACTAAGTTTGTTTCATTTTGGTCAGAAAGTAGAAGGCTTTCTAGAGGATAAGTTTTTCTTAAAGGATACAGTGTGCCACTTATGTCTCCAAAATCTTAAATCCTTACAGTTCCCAATTTCATTATTACCCCTAGTACCTGTATCCAGGGAGTCTTGCTATCTGATAGATGAGTAGTGTGAAGATCCTTCTAAAATGGCCAAGTAGAAACCATGTTCCTAGGACACTCAAAGCAAAAGGCCAACTGAAAGTAACAGTTTGCAGTCAATTCCAAACCAGTGGGCAGACTTCAGAGTCCTGTGGACTTGTAATCGGCCAAAGGTCCAGGGGAGTTAGTCTGAAGTTGAATGTATGGTCCCAGGAAATGGTGTCTGCGAAATTACTGTGCTTTCAATTACCTCCCCTATATCATTTTTCTAATTTTTCAACCACACTGAATACGGTTGCAAATTCTGTCACGCCTAGTCTGTGTGGCAAGATATAAAGAGATGATATAGACTTCTAGGAGATATCTCCCATTTACTTTGATTAATTTTTTTATGTTTCTGATCCTCCTTCCCACATATTTGACAGCTGTTTACAGATGATGCCTGCAGTTTCTGTTTGCGTCTGTTTAAGAGAGATAATTAGGGCACTTCATAGTTGAAGCTTAAGCAGGTCAGCTATCTTAAGTCTTCAGGCTAGAGAGCCTCCTAGAGGGAGTGGCCCTTTAATTTATCATCTGAAGCCATCTGGCAAGACTTTCATTGCAGAAAGGGTTGGTCTGAAGCATTCTAACTCAGCAGTGTCATGAATTTCATGGAATTTACTGGCTTGTAGCTAAAGGGCCTATAATAAGGTGTAACCACTGGACCTTTGCCTTCCTGACATGTGACTTGGAACAAATACTCCATAGGTAAAATATAGGCTACACCTGAAGTCTGTGATCCCTACTTATTTGTGAAACTGTAAGAGAACATCAAATATTTCTTAAAAGCTTCTTTGGGTACCCCCATTCCTCTTATTAGACTTGGGGACTATTTTCAGATAACTGACTGAAACATTTTTGTTTCTGCATTTCAAATGAAATATCTATTCCTAATCTTTTTCCACATGAAAAATTGTTCTTTTGTTGTTAAGCAGAAACAGTTCAAAGTCTAATCCTTGAATGTTTTTCAACTAGTATGATGATGTTAAGTGCCTCATTGCTCATTAGTTGAGATTTTCTGACACATCAGTGTTAGGAATAAGCAACAGGGGAGTTGGTGCTTCATCAGCATCTAACTCAAAGCTTGATTATAGCCATTTTATCACCCACCATTCTGTCTTGAGTCTTCAAAGTTAATATTTAGAGGACCTGTGCAGAGTCCAAAGGCTGTTAATACTGTTTTCAAAGAGGATGTCACTGTGTTTACATACAGCCTTAAATCAGTTGACAGTGTCAGTTAAGTTCTTATTAATTTGGTTGCACCGGGTCTTCGTTGCAGCAGGCAGGCTCCTTAGTTACGGCCAGCGGGCTGCTCCTTAGTTATAGCTCACCGGCTTCTTAGTTGCAGTATGCATGTGGGATCTAGTGCCTTGACCAGGGATCGAACCCGGGCCCCCTGCATTGGGAGCTTGGAGTCTTAACCACTGTGCTACCAGGGAAATCCCAAGTTCTAAATTATATGACTAGCAGGGAATTAATTACTGATCTGGCTGTGACTTCAATGATAAGCATAAGATCTTGTCCAGAAGTGTCCTAGGATCAAGTCAGATTGAGAAAAGAAATTATGCTGATGATCTTAGATACAAATTGTGAAATTAAAAGTGGAAAAAACCATTGTGAATATGAAAGTATAGTTTATGTATTAAACAAGTGATTTAGGGAATCTCTCTCTCCTGAACTTCAGTCTTGGTTTCTTTTATTACTTTTACGGCTTATTCTCCTGTTTGGGATGGAATCTGCATAAACATGAACAGTGTGTCTCAGCTTTAGGAAACTCTTAGTTAACCCTGTGATGCTAGGACAGTATGCAATACAAGGCTGTTATTTTCTTGTTTTTCCTCTGCAGGTGGTCTTCGAGGGGTGGCACGAGGCGGCCTGGCAGGACTAACCCTTACGGGCCTCTACGCGCTATATAATAACTGGGAGCACATGAGAGGCTCCTTGCTCCAACAGTCTCTCTGAAGACTGCTAGCTGGTGAACGCTCTGGTGAACGGAGGACACTTTAGTAGTCATCCAGATCAATTTATAAGTCAGTCTGGAGTCATTTACTCTTTTACTTGCAACTAGTTTGAAAAAGGAGAGTCCAGTTTGCTGTGATGAAGATCATGGATGGTTGACCAGGACTGGCACTCCTTCCAGCCATTAATGAGTTGAAGCCAAAACCCTTTGGTGGCTGAGTAATGTGGCTCTCTTCTCCTTTAAAGAAGATCTTGCACCTGTTTTTTCTCCTACCCCCTGAACTGGAAAACCACTTACTCCCAGAATTCAGGTCATGCTTGTCAATGCTGTATCACCACATTTGTTCATTTAATAATCCAAGACTGTAATACTGCCCTGTATTCCCAATAAAGGGTAAAAACAGAACCAAAGTTATAACTCCAACATAAAACATAGTGGGTGTCTCCGAAGTTACTCTTGGCATTTGTTTACGCCCCACTAGGCTAAAACACGTCTTCATGTTTGTGTTGAAATGAAGGGCGACTGGCAGCATTAGCAACTAGGTTAAAATTTTTCTCCGACAGAGTTGACACTACACAACCTCAAGATATTTCAGATTAGCCATTATACCATTAGTGTACCATGCTAGAACAATCTGTGCAACAATCATGATTCTGTACGCGTTAACTCATCTTACTGGGGATAATTCGAAAAAGATGATATAGACACAAGCTGTAAGTTTTTAGGAAGCCTTGGGAAAGCAAGCTAAAGAAAATAAGGACAAGTTATTTAATTTGAGTTTGTCTTCTCATCTTTGAAATGAAGTTAATCAAATAAGATTGCACTGCACGTTATACATATACATAATGAATACTAAACAACTGGTGGCTATTGTGATTGATTAGAGAAAGTAAAGTAGGGCCTTTCTGAATGCATCTAGTTCGAAGGAATTTGGCAGAAAAGCACTGAACTTCAGCTGAAGTCCTCTAGTTTAAAAAAAAAAGGAAAAAGTTTAATATCTTACCTGCAACAGCAGATTAAAAATTAAAAGTAGATATGAAGAGTGTGCAAGAAAAACAAAATGGAAGTTAGTAATAACCTATTTGCTAATTCAAGAATCAAAATACATTGATACTTAAGTGAATATAAAAACACTTTTTATGTTCAAGTGTTTCTCAACTGTACTCCTAACCAAAGGATATCACATTCATGTAATTTTGTGACAAGGTGTTTTACAAATCACAGGACAACTATATGGCTGTTATGCTTTTAATGGAGGGAGGCACAAAATCCATCAATGCAAAAGAATGTTTTACACTCATTAGCACAGTGATTGTTAATTTAGGGATACACAATGTGTTAAACCTCAAAAACTACAAAGTTTCCTGCAACCTAAGATAATGGAAAGGCTCCTTAAGTTTTTACCCACCACCTTTAGTTTTAAAGTTCTAAATGGTATTGGGGAACTAAAAAATAATAGGCTCGTTTCAGCTGTGGTTCAAGAATTCTAATGAAGTTGGCAATGACACGGAATGTGAAGTTTCCCCAAAAGGGCTTTCTAGATGACCACATCACAAACTTTAAAAGTATTTCCAATAACATATAGGCAAGTTGAGTGGCTTAATAGTGTAAAAGCCTGGAAAGCAGCTAAAATGTCTCATCTTACAGAATTTTAAAACATGGTATAAATACCATTTCTCTCCTACAGAGAAACTTTTTAAAGCATGGACATAACTTTAGGGATGCTAAGGAAACATCAATACTTTTCATAAAGCTTCAATAAACATCCCAAGGCACAGTGTTCAAAACGGCCTATTCACTAAAATGTCACTGCATTATAAGCTATAGGTATGCTATGCTTGCAGTGAGAGGACATTTAATTTATGCCTAGTTAAAAGCACCAGGTGTCCAGTTCAGCTTACATTTACACAGGATGCACCAGTAACATTTAGGATAGTGAATAGTTCAAGTACTACATTTCCAGCATGTCTTGCCTTTTGCTTTTTGATTAGTCAGCACTGGGGCTCTTCTGCCTGTAGTTCTTCAGAATACTTTGAAAGAGGCTAGGATTACCCTGAATATAGTCTTCAAGCAATATGGAGCCCTTCTGAAAAAGCTGTCTAGATACTTGAATAAGAACGTTTAGAGAAGGGAATAAAGATAAAACTTGAAATAGCTGAGTTTGTTTCAAAAAAAGAAAAATAATGTAGAATCTGGCATGTAAGCTAAAATGTTTTGTAATTAATGTCAAAAATTGCCAAGACTGTTAATACATGTTTTGGTAAGGAAAAAACCACTATATTGGCAAGGTTAATTATTTGTGTGAAATAATATTGTACATTAATTAAACAGAAGAATTCACTGTTAATGGAAGAAAACCCACAAGAAGGGGAAGCATCCAAAGAAGGCAAAAGGTTAGGTAAAAAAAGGAAGTTTAGTAGTTTCAGAATACATCAACACACCTTGATTATAAAACTATTTCATTTTTAAAACTACAGTGCTTTAATGTACTTCTAATAACAACCCAAACTAAGGAGCCGTGGAGGCTTACGAAAAAGACCTACCTACTATGATGCTGTGTTTCTAGTGTAGGGGTGAATTAATACTTCTGTAAGAAGGAACTGAATCACCTCAACATCAACAAACAGCCTTTTTCTTTTACACAGTAACTCATAATTTGATTTATTATTTCTCTTCACTAGTTCAAAATTAGGCAGAAAAGGAACTACATCAGACCCAGAAACGCAATGATTTGGCAAGCCGCAGTTACTCAGCTCATGGATTTGTGCTAATCTGCAGAAAATTTGCTTGACTCCAGTACTCCATTCCTTCACATCTGTAAAGAAAAGCCCATAGATAAAAAGTCACTTCACTGCAGGATTAAAAGCAAGATTCTTCCCACCCTGAAGCTCTCACTTCTCAATAAGCTACTAGAATCCACACAGGCTCCAAAAATTCTCCCAACAGCTACATCATCTTGAAAGGTCACTTTCAAGTATGTCCTCGTTACTTCATGGAGCAAGTTCAAGTGAAATACATGAAATTGTTATGATCTTTTTCCCACCTCACCTAATATAGAAACCATTAATAGGAATACAGTTCAGTGGGCAAAGTATGAATTCATATATAAGGCAAAATATCTTTGAGCAGCTAAAACTAATATTTGCACTAGTGGCATGTACCCACCTGTAGAGGAGTTCGATACAACCATTTTTCTTTATCAACTTTAAGCTGCATACAGGCAAAGAGATCACAAACTGCTGGGAGGCCGTAACGGTCTGGGGGAAAGCTGTGTTCCTCCTGTAGGGGCGAATTAAGTAATACTTCCTGCAAGAAGACAAAAGGTGGATTGCTACATGACAACTGGGAGGCGTGAGACCAACAATTCATCTTCAAATAGTGTAGTGTCTATAAAGAATGATGTAAATGTTGGGCATTCTAATAATGAGCAAAGGGGACAACTATTTTCTCTACCCCTAATCTTTTCCATAAGTAGCAATAAAATAGACCAGATGGGGATTTGGGGCCTAGAAAATGCACAGAAATTTCAGTCTGAATAATCATAAATCCTCCATTCTGTTGCTAACATGGCACCAAAATTAATATTTCAGCCATATTTAACAGTTAAGATATTTAAGGATCTGGCCCATTTGCAAGGTTTGGGATTAAGAAAGTAAAAATGTATTAAATATACTTCAAAAGGTGCTATTTTAATGTGTTGTGCTCACCTTGGCCTTTCGAAGTAGCCATTTGTCTTCTCCTGAGGATAAATGGCTAAGATTTCCTGTCTTCTTTCCTGGCAAGACCCAGTCAGCTGTGTTAAAGGGACACCAGGAAGTGGCCAAGTGGCTTGTAAGCTTTGCTATGCCAGCTCTGTCCTCTCTAAGAGGCACTTCCTTGGGACATCCTTCTTTGCATGAGGGGGTAATGAGCCACTCTGACAAGGGACTGTTCCTTATGACTTGGAAGGAATCAGCAATTCTAGAAGAAGCCATTGCCTTTGGTGCCTTAGCTTGTTCTGTTGCCTCTCTTCTGGATGGACAGAGCCACATATTCAGGGAATCTTTATGTTTCTCAGGTTCAGGTTTTGGTTCCACAGGCATACCATTTTTATCCTTTCCTTCTTTCTTCAGAAGCCATTTACACAGAGCTTCCTTCTCACAATTTTCATCACACACACACTCTGCAAAGCTTGTACAGGGCTCATTGGCTTTGCAGACCTCCTCTACTTTATATGGGTCTTGATGATTCTGGACAAGCCAATCCTCAGTAATCACGCTGGGAGTGGACAAGGGTTTCTTGGCCTCCAAGTGGTCATTCAGGCACTTCAGATTGCCCAGGTTCTCAATCTCCACACCTTTGAGCTGGTTACCCTGACAATTGGAAGAAGCCATTGCCTTTGGTGCCTTAGCTTGTTCTGTTGCCTTTTTTCTGAATGGACAGGGCCACATATTCAGGGAATCTTTATGTTTCTCAGGTTCAGGTTTTGGTTCCACAGGCATACCATTTTTATCCTTTCCTTCTTTCTTCAGAAGCCATTTACACAGAGCTTCCTTCTCACAATTTTCATCACACACACACTCTGCAAAGCTTGTACAGGGCTCATTGGCTTTGCAGACCTCCTCTACTTTATATGGGTCTTGATGATTCTGGACAAGCCAATCCTCAGTAATCACGCTGGGAGTGGACAAGGGTTTCTTGGCCTCCAAGTGGTCATTCAGGCACTTCAGATTGCCCAGGTTCTCAATCTCCACACCTTTGAGCTGGTTACCCTGACAATTGGTACAAGAATCAGGCTTGACAAGCCAATCATTCACACTATAGGACTCCTGGAACACCTGGAACAAGAGCTTAAACTTCTCACTGGTTTCACAGCTGCCATTCCCAGGCTTCTCAAGCTTATGGGATTCCTGGGGAGTCACCAGCCAATCAGAAAGCTCCATCTCATCTTGATCAAGAAGCTCTAGATCTCCAACCTTTTCAATTTCAATGGAGTAAGAACTGGTAGTAGAATGGCTGTTACACTTTTGGTAACTTGGTTTTTCAGAAACTTCTTGTTGCTGACTCTTGTGGAGCCAATTTTCCAAGCCCTTTAGGTTGCCCCAGACTTTACTGAAGAAATTGCAGGCTCTGGCAGAACTCTACATAAGAAGTACACAGTATTAGTTTGCCAGAACATTATGACTGCTTTGGGATTCAATGATAAGACCTCTACTTATATTTACCACACTGCCCAATGTTTCTAAATTTAAGTATATACATAGCCAAAAGGTATGGGATTTCTCTATTAAGATATTAAAATATATGGTTACATTAAAACTTAATTTTCTGCAGTTTTAAAATAAGGCAAAATAGGAGGAAGCATTTGTAGCAGTTTATAGAAAAGAGACTAGTACTATATAATGTGACTTTATGAATAAAGAAGACAAAAATGAGCCATGGATAT